GTTCTTACTGAAATTTGGAGTAAAATCTTATCAAGAATAAATGAAACAAACAAAAATTTACAAAAAGAAAACCTTACTATTGACGTCGGTTCAAAATTATTTGATTCTCTTGCTGGTTTTCTAAGTGAGATTAGAGATAACTTTTATAGTTATGAAAGTTCCGCTAGAGAAAAATTTCCAGATTCTGACTATAAAGATTAACACCAACGAACTAAGAAGAGGAGTATTCATTTAACATTACCCGGTGAACTGACAAACAAAAGTACATCGTTTTCAGGTAGTGAAAAATTCAAAATAGAAACTTACTTCCCAATAATAGATACATTAATAACTCAGTTAAAAATTCGTGGTAAATCATACAAATCAATAAATAAACTGTTTGGATTTTTCTCTAATTTAAAAAATTTAGAGACAAAAGAAGTACAAGTCCATTATAAAACATTTGCGGAATTTTATCACGTAGATATTAATGAAAATGAATTAATTTTAGAATTTATACACTTAAAAGCGTATCTATCGGAACTTGATATTTCTGAATTCAGTATTTCTAGTACATATAAATGTTTAAAATCAAATAGACTAGAAGAAACATTTCCAAACATAATAATATCTTTCCGAATTTTTTTATCAATGATGATTACCAACTGCAGTGGGGAACGTTCATTTTCTAAGTTAAATTTAATTAAAGAAGAGCTTAGAAGTACAATGAGCCAGAAACGGTTAAACTCCTTATCTTTAATGAGTATTGAACATGAACTACTATCAAGTTTAGATTATGAAAATGTTATTGAAGACTTTGCGAATGAAAAAGCTAGGAAGAAACCATTAAAGAGTATTTAATAATTGACAAATTTATATCATGTTTTTTTTTAAATTATATTAGTTTTTGTTTAATGAATTACATTTATTTTTTAACTATAAAACATATTGATGTATGAATAATTAATATCTTGACGTTATAATTAATAGGAAAGTATTTTTTGACCGTTTATTTTGAAAGTAAAATAAAGAATAAAGTAACAGAGATTTAAACAAAAATTCACTTTTTACTAATAAAGTGTAATATTTAATAAATAATAATACATTATGTGTTAAAAAATGTATATATTATAATTTAGTATTATAAGGCCCCCGAAATATGTTTGGCCCAGGGCCCCATAAAACCTTAAGACGGCTCTGCTGGCGAAGCAAATTTGTCTTTAAATATTTGTTCTATTTCATCAAAAGTTAAATTTAAATTATTCATTATTAATGTTTTATACAGTTTATAAGCTGAATTTTTTAAGTATAATGGTAAATAAGTTAATTTTATTTGTGAAGTCCAATCGTTAGCAATAGCTACTACATTAAAGTACTCGAAAAATTCTAAAACGCATTCATCACCTGAACCGTTAAAAATATTTGGAACAAATTGTTGAAGTCTTGCCATTTTAGTTTGTGAAATTATTTTATTTGTATTTTCGGCAGTTTTCAATTTATATTCAGCTTCGTTATTATAATTTGTTTTAGTTTCTAATATTATTGGACAATTTTTACTCTTTGAATTAATTGTTTCTAAGCTATTTTCCAAGTTTAAGTTTTTATTTAATTCTATAGTTTCAAATTTATAATTTTCTGATTGCTTATTAGTATTTGAATCTGGTGACCGTGATTTTTCCAAGTCTATTAAGAGATTTTTTAATTGTTGGACCGCGTTTCCAGTTTCGACAGTACTGTTTTTATTTTCTAATGTTTCGGATTGTAGTTGTGGTTTAAATTCACTATTATTATCACTAAAATGTACTTGGCTTTTATTTAAATTTAATGAAAGATTGCTTTCTGTAAAAGTAAGATTTATACTATCGTCAGAGTTATCTTTCTCTTCGCTACCAAGTGATTCTATTCTGAAATTTTTTACAGCCGATTTTGCAAGATTTCTTAATTCTAAGAGAGTTGATGATTCTTCACAATTAATATTACAAAATTTTAAGAAGCCCACTACTTCGGATTTATCTAACAAATGTATCCACGCTACCGTTTTTTGAGAAATAATAAATTCAAATTTTTTCCCTACGGGTGATAGTTTATTAAATTCTTCTTTACTTAAACTTTTGACCTCGTACAATGTACACAATGTAAATTTTTTAACTAATATAGCCGAAAAAGGTATCTTTCCAAATTTAGAATTTTCAAAAAAATCCCCTAAGTCGTTCTCCTCGATTTATCGTAATAAGGTTATTAAATTTATTTTATTTATTTCTGAATTGAAATTTTTGTTTAAAAATAATATATTTTTGTTTGTTACTTTGGCAGTTTGATTATTCGTATTTCGTTTTATATAAAATTTATCGTCCATTAAAAATTATTAGTCATTAAGAGAAATTTGAAAAGACAATGACTTTACATAAGATTCACCTGACCTAATACACTAATATAACAACACAAGGGGTGTACCTCAGAATCGAAATTTTTTCAGAAAAATTTTATTTCTTAAAAATCGGGACTCCAGGGACGAGCGCCTCCACCAATTGTAACGTCCCCTCTTCACATGCGTGTTTGCAACGCTCTCGCGTCTTCTTACCTATAAAGTTATGTTTTGATTAACGAGGTCTCGGGGACTCGACTTCGGTGTGTAATATTAATATACTAGATCAGGGTTACCTTATTTAAGTAAAGCACAATTGTATAAAATGTAACGTATATTTAACAGATAATTTAAGATTTATATAATAGAATGAAGGTTACCGATCCGGGTAGATTGACAAGCCGTGAGTGTGGATGGTGGATGGCTGCACGGATCGTTGAGGAGTCTTCTGGTCGTCTGTCTGCTCCTGGTGTCGCACACACACTCCTCGCACACACTCTCCTACACTACACGTATTGGTCCTTGTTATATACCTTAAACTGCTGCCTAAAAGCCTTAGGTCAGCAGTCGGCCCCGCTTGCCATTCCTCACACTCAGCATTTTAACAACGTGTGCCCTACTTAAGGAATAATGTACGATGTCGATAGACGACAATCGTTACACTCTTGAAAGCCTATAATTAAACACTTTTTTCTTTAGTGGTAAATTTTTTCCGGCATATGGACGCATTACATTATGACTTAAACCAAACGCTTCATCTCCCACAATTACGTAAGGCAGTTTATAGTCACTCGCTCCTGGAAGTACTGAATCTTCGGGAATGGACAGTTCTTTTTTAATAATTTTTTTGTAAAAATTTGAGTTTTTAAAAAATTGACGAATCGCTATTTTTTCCGTAGTCTCCGATATCTACGGCGATAAAACAATAATTTGCGTCACAAACAGCTAAGAGAACAATCGAAAAAAAATGTTTATAGTTGTAGTATAATGAGCCTACCTTTGATTACCCTGATGTGTTTTCCATCAATTGTGCCAATACAGTTAGGAAAATTTGTAATGCTACAATAGAGTTCTGCAATTTCCACCCATTTTTCTTTCGTTGGCTCTGGCATATATGTATTTTTTAAATTATCCCAAATTACAACATAAGTCTCTTGTATCATATTACTCAATGTAGATACTCCAATTCTGTAATCGTAATGAAGTTCTGTTAATATACATCCTGACGCGAGATATCTGGAAATAAAGAATATTCAACAAATAACAAAAAGTGTCTTAAGACACTTCTACTAAATTTATTATTATTTTATTTATATAATTCAATAAAAATAATTAACCTACAAATAAAATATAAATTATGAAATGTTTTACTCTGTAGTGCTAGAGTTACAAAGAAAATGGAAGAGTTTGAGGAACTCATTTTCTAGAGAACAGGCTAAAAGAAAGAATTTGAAATTTGGGTCAGGAGGAAGTACATGGAAAACATATGTTTATTATAATCAATTATCGTTTCCTTCTTCTTGTGCAGCAAATAAACTGACAACTTCAAATTTAAGTTCATCACATGATTCTCCAGATGAAAATGAAAATGACATTGAAGAAGTTAATAGCGACTTAAATGAAACTACTGGAGAAGTTTTAGAAAATGTTTTACGTCACGAGCCCGCCAAAAAGCAAAAAACTGTTGAAAATGAATATGAAAATTAATTTTTCAACTCTGTAACGAGAAGTTTACAAGAAAGGGAACGCAGAGAAAAAGTATACATGGAAGATCCAGATCGCTTGTTCATGTTGTCACTTGTTCATGACCTTAAGCAAGTACCTGCCCATTTAAAAATGTCAGTAAAATCGAATATTATGCAAGCTATATCTAATGGATTGCAGATGTAAAAACCTCCAGGTATGACGGTGAATTTGGATCCATATTGTCAACTTAATAATCAGTACAGTATCCCCATGTCACCCTTAATTCATCATACACAATATAATACTCAATATCACCGACCACAATCCAGCTTTCAACAACCATTAGTGATAACTAGGACACAACAACCTAGCCCTTGTTCATCTAATATTTCTAATCACTCATCAACATCGAGGTCAACTTCTCTATCAGTATCGTCACTAAGCTACGTCTCTCCTATTGAATCATATTCTAATCAGTCATCAAATGAACCAAATTTAGTAACATATATAAATGATTACAATATTAATGATTGATACTTTCATAACATAAATAGTGTAAAAGTAGTTAAATATTAAAATTGTTTATCTATTATTATTTAAGTAATTTCTTTAACTTTTATATTTCTGGTTGATTTTTCCCTTACAGACCGAAGTAATTTTTTTAATTTTTTTTTAATTTAACTTTAATAACATTTCTACTTATACCTTAAGTATTTCAAAAAAAATATTGAAAAAAAATCACCCCAGGAGAGGTCAAAACTACCCCTTCACAATCGTGAGGGTTCGGTCTAAACTACTAAAAAAATATATACAGGTTTATCAATACAAAATAGGTATGAAAAAAACTTTATTTTGTTTGAAACATAATACGTTGAATTTTAATAAATAATAATTTTATTAACTTTATTTTAAAAAAAACAACATCAATACTTATAATTCTTTTTGAATTTTTAAATATAATAAATAATATTTATTTCAGCTGGTGATAATTCTCAAAACACATTTTACCTTTGGACATCCACAAAAATGTTTTACATTTTGTACACATAACTTTTGACCTACTTGTATAACCTTTGTATCTACAACTTAGGGGAGCTTTAAGGTCCATTGCTCTCGGCTCATGATGATATGCATCGAGTCTTACATCGTCACCTGGTATAGGTGCAGGTGGTTTTATTTTTATCGGTGGTTCTCCATCTTCTTCGGTGTCTTGATATGTAGGTGGTGGCGGTGTTGCCATAGTTAAGCATTCACCAATTTCCAATCTGAACTGTAGCAAATCTTTAATTTTTTTTTTTCGGTATTTTATTAATTTTACAATCTTCTAAATATTCAAACCAACTGTTTGTTACTGATAGGTCAAGTAAGTGTAATATAAATTTAAGTGGCCATTTTCTTGTTTTTAACCAAGTTCTGTAATATTCCATCATTTGATCAAAATGATCAACACCACCCATTTTTTCATTGTATTTTGATATCATATTAGGAATTTGTACGTCAATATACTTTTTTTGTGTTTTATCCCATCTGGATACTGTTGTTGTCGGTAAACCTCCGTAACACAATGATGTCGTAACTACTGACTTGTTGTCTTTCCATTTCAACATAGAAATATTTTTATCATCAGATATAACTTCTTCTAAATCTCCTCTTTTCATTTTAGAATCTGCTTTAAATTGGAATTTCTGTAGACGATTCATTTGTATAGTACTGGTTCCATGAATTTTTAGCTGTACTAATTTTTTCATCAACGGAATAATCATAAAATAATGATCGAAAAATACAGATGAACCATCTGGTATTGTAATAATAAGACGTAAAATTACAGCCGGTCCGAGTCCTAAACTTTTGTCAGAAAAAGGCGTGGTTAGTCTTTGGTAAATTTCATAATCGATAATTAGACCATCAGACGTAGTAATTACAAAATGTTTGAGACCAACTGGTCTAGGTTTACCTTTCACAAACTGTCTTATCTGACAACGTCCAAGAAAAGGTATCATTTGTTCATCAATTGAATAATAAGTTGATGATCGCCTAACAGATAAGCACCTGTTCTATGAGTGGTTGAACTTTCCATAGTTTGTTATTTTTTTTCACTTCATCACTAACCAAATTTGCAAAATGTAGATTGACTCTTAATTGAAAAAACCGATCTCGTGACATTATCGATGCAACAGGATCGTATCGAAACTTAGCACTCCAATACATTCGGAGACGAGGAAATTTAATACAACCAATAATAACGTGAATCCCAAAAAATTGTTTCATTTCAATAGAAGTTGTCTTTAATATTTTACCCGTATTTTCCATGTAATATTGATTAGTGCACAACGCCACTAGTTCATATAATTCTTCGGGAAAATATTTTTTTAAATATTCCATAGGTGTACCCACAGGTAACGTTTTCGGAAATTTTTCGGAGAATATTTTAGATGTAAATGACTGTATGCGCCACTTAACTTTTTCGAAAATCGAACCATTTTCATTACCCTCGTTAACAATATGGTCGACACTTACTTGTCTGCCAGTTTCAAGTTGTTCGTCCTTTACTGCATCTAATTATACTTCAGAATCACTTGACTCACACAAAATATTATTTCCGTGTTGATTAGGTAAAGTAAAGCTTGGATCTGCATCATAATCGTCGTTATCTTCAAATTCTAAGTCAGAATCTTCTAACAAATCTAAAATTTGATCGGCATTCATGGTAGACGCAAATACGTAACAATAGACCGGATACTCACGAACGTAATTATTGTCCGCGCGAATACGGCGACAAAAACAAATATTAAGTAGCCAGTGATGTTAGAAAAAGTTTTGAAATCTTATGATGAATAAAACGAAACGACAAAATAATTAGTATGGCAAATATACACAGAGAAAATAACTCGAATAATATGGATATATTAAATTGATAAAAACCTAAAACTAATAGTACTTGAAGCATGGCTGGGTTTTACCCGATTACTTTTAAAATTAGATAAAACGATAGAACGTAACCTTCACAATCGTGCGAGACCGGTCTGAACAGAGTAGAATAAATATAACAAAAGAAAAAAAAACCATACCCTCACGATCGTGCCTTGTCGGTCTGTAAGGGTTATAGCAAGTATTTTATCATATTATTTATTTTAATATTATTTTACATAGTGTTTATTTTTTATTTTATTTATTTCAACTGTTTCTTATATTTTATACGAGTATGTTTAGTTTCTTTATATAAATTTAAATGTTATATTTATCATTTTAACTCTAATAAATTTCAGTGTTACTTATTAAAGTACGTTTTATATCTTAATTATCTATATGAATAAAAACATAGCGCCGTCCCTGCCTTAATGTTACAGCTAATCGTTCTTCCGTAGTTATTGACTTGCGCATGTTTGTATCCTCTTTTCGGATATCATATTTTATAGCATCGTGCAATTCAAAAATCGAATTCCTCGACATACGAAAATAATTAAAAAACTTTGAAGGGTATTGTAAGAGATCAGGAAATACATTTTGAAAATGTCCTTTTTCATTTCTTTGACTGACAATTGGATGTACCCACAATAGTCTTTGTTTTTTAATTTTTTTGTTTCGTTTTTTAATTATTAAGGCATAAAGCATAATTGCTGTATCTACGTCCATTTAAAAAAATTAACTAATTAAAAAATGTATACGTATTTTAGTATTTAAGTATTTTAAAATCAAGAGCTCGCACCACGAATAGGCGTCTGGAAAATATTTTTATACATTTCAACATAGTGAATCGGACACGAGTGTATGGTAAGGTGTCTCGTGTGAAGCAATGTCTACTTTTTGTGTACGGTGGCAAGATTCTTGTAGCCGGCCACAAACTGTCTCGTCTGAAAGCTCTCTAAGTGTCCTAAAAGTTACCCAGCTAGTCTATAAAAATTGCAATAAGTGCGATTGTAACGACATTGGAAAAAATAGAATTAGAAATAGAATCGCGTATAAATTAGCGTCGTATAACCCATAATATGAGGTAGTCGCGATAACGCACAAGTATCAATTTTATTATTACTTATTTAATTTTGACACGGTACGCAACGGTCGTCGTCGGTACAAAGTACAGACACCGCAGCGACCGGTATTCACTATCACCACCACCAACACGGGTAAAATCACGATATTGTCAACTCTCCCACCAACGCCGTAAAGGCCTAGGTGGGACAGGAAGACAAGTGCTAGACGAGTACCGGTCCCCGCAACGACAAACACTTTATCTTGCACACCCGAAGGTGTTATTTCACCATCGTCGGTCAACCTTTGTTATATGGTTTTTTTTTTCTTAGTGCATTTTATTCATATTGTTTATTATTGTTGAAATTTATATTATTTAAAACTAAATAAAATAACCGACATTATTTATCTTAAACGACAAAACAACGGCTTTATTTTTTGTTTTTTTTTTTTATATTTTGTTCCGCACGAGAAATCACTCAACGAGTAAAACACGACAGTCGCCGAATCCGCGTCAATTTTAACTATATTTATAATATTTGCAGTATGTTCCTACCAAAGTGATGGACAATAATGTTGATAAAGTGTTTTTAAAAGAAGTTATTTCTGTACTCATATGATTTGCACCGGAGTTAGTACTTTCTACTGTATAAAAATGAAACAAGGTAAGAAACTTATATTATTATCAATGTAATTTTACCTTCTACTAGTTAGTAAGGATTATAATTTTTTGCAGAAAACAGAAATAATAAATGTAGGTACTGTAGATGTAGTTTTTAAAGACAGTAGAAACAACCTTGTGAATTTTTTAATATTATAACTTAAAACAATGTATAAAAAATATGTATAGGTAGTGTGTGCAGGGCCGTATTTACGCCTAGGCCCGTGAGGCCCGGGCCTAGGGCGGCAAATTTTGTAAGAAATAAAAAAAAAATTATATGAATATTTTATGCATTTATGTAACTGCGTGTCTGCGTAAATTAATATTATATAATATTTGATATAAGTATTTAAAAAACATAAAAGTAAATCCATGAATTTGACACATTGGTTAATTCTGTGGCCTGCGTCTTAATAAGCTATCGTATTTATCGTAATCGTAATATAAAATCACAGATTTTTATATAGAAGACAGAAATATATATTAGTATATTAGTAGTATAGATATCTGTGTGTAAAATATACGAGTGCATGACACTTAAAATATCAATAACACGAAATCAATTTTCTTGTAATGTGAATTATAAAGATAAGATACCTAGGTATATAATATGAGTTGTTCCTAAAAGTAATTACGATAATAATATTATATATATAGAAATTGACGAGAGATATTGTGTATCCACATCACACACGACCACACTTCATTTCAGTTTATTGTTCGTCATTGTCGGGCAGTGCATATTACGACAACACAATATAATATTTAATAATTAATAATTCACGTATTAAATTTACAGCAATTAACATTTTTTCAACATGAGTGACGGTCGTAAACGTTTTAGTGGTTCAGAGTATAAAAAGCGAGCCAAAGATAAAGAATATAAAGAGATTAAAGTTCTAAATAAAATACCTAAACTAAGTACTTTCTTTAAACCTACTACACCGTCTTCTTTGAATGCACCTGATAATGATCAACAACATGATTTAAAAAACGATTGACGACAAAGAAATGACTAAGTGCGAATCGAATTTTGTAATTAATAACTTAACAACTTCTACTTTAAATGTGGATTCAGATACACTTTATATTGATAATAATGATCCGGCTAAATGGATTATTAATGATGTAACTCGCGATTATGTGGCAAAACACGGAATAAATCAAAATTTAAATGATGATTTTACATGTTCTAAACGTGAGTATCCTGACAAAAATAGATTTTTAAATAAATCATTATTTGTTAGAACACGTATAAATGGTGAAGTACAGTCACGACCATGGTTAGTGTTTTCGAAATCTACTGGTTCAGTGTTTTGTGCACCATGTCGACTCTTTGGAAGTACACATTTATCAACATTAGTAACTATTGGTTTTAATGATTGGAAAAATGCTGTACGAAAATTAAACGAGCACGAAAATTCTATCCCTCATAAAACTTCAACAGTTGCATTAATTGAAAGGGGAAAAACTGCAGGTAAAATAAACCAAGAAATTGTTTTGCAATTAGAACAAGAAACCAATTATTGGCGAAATATTTTAAAAAGAATAGTTGCTACTGTACGTTCTTTAGTAATTCGAGGGTTACCACTGAGAGGCAGTGAAGAAAAATTTGGGTCGTATCATAGTGGTAATTTTATTATGACATTAGAACTTTTAGCAGAATTTGACCCCTTTCTATTAGAACATATTCGCCATTACGGTAAAATCGGTAGTGGTAATACATCGTATCTATCTTCACAGACATACGGAGAGTTTATACAAATTATGGCAGAACAAATTACAAAACAAATAGTTGAAGAAGTCAAAGTTTCAAAGTATTTTTCGATAAGCGTTGATTCGACGCCCGACGTATCCCATGTTGATCAGTTGTCTTTTATCATAAGATACCTTTCAAAAGATGGTACTCCTATAGAACGATTTTTAAAGTTTATTGCCAATACTGGGCATAAATCTGAACAACTTGCTGATGCAGTTTTTGATACACTTAATCAATATAATTTGGATTTTAAAAATTGCCGCGGGCAATCATATGATAATGCCAGTAACATGGCTGGTAAATACACTGGCCTTCAAGCCAGAATTAAAGAAGTCATTCCGCTTGCCATTTATGTTCCTTGCTCAGCACATTCCCTAAACCTTGTGGGGATATCTGCCGTGGATTGCTGTGAAAAATCGACAACATATTTTAGGTATCTACAAGAATTATATAACTTTTTCACAGCATCTACCCATCGTTGGGAAATTTTACTATTTTATTTAAAAAAGGCCAAGTGTGTAAAAAGTTTGTCTCAAACCCGATGGTCAGCAAGATACGAAGCGGGTAAATCTTTATATACTTCTTGGAGTGAAATTAAAAACGCTTTACAGGCTATTATTGACGATGCCAATGAAAAACCTGTAACAAAATTTGACGCTTTGGTTCTTTTGAAACCTTTAAATACTATAGAAATGTGCTTTATGGCTGTTTTTTGGAACGAAGTATTAGAAAGGTTTCATATAGTTAATAAAAAACTTCAATCAGTTAATATTGAATTAGGAATGGTCGTTGAATTATATGGATCTTTAGAGCAGTATATATCTAGAATTAGAAATAATTTTGAAGAATATGAAAGAAAAGCTATACAAATATGCGGTGAAATACAGTATAAAAAAGACAAGCGGAGAACTGTTAAAAGAAAACGTCAATTCGACGAAACAATGAATGAAGTGATAACAGAAACAGGCAAGGAAGATTTCAGAATAAATGTATTCTTCGTTATATTGGATAAATTGAAAGCTGAACTTGTAAGACGTGGCAGTTCGTATAAAGATTTATGTGTCAAGTTTGATTTTCTTACGAATATATGTAGTTTTGACGAGGAAATTATTTTTAAAAAAACTAGGGCACTTATAGAACAATATCCTAATGATATTGAAGAATCATTTACAAATGAATGTCTTCATTTGCGTGATCATCTTTTTTTTAAATCGGACAAAAAAAGAAGCGCTCAAGAACTTTGTCAGATGTTGTATACAGATGAATTAATAGATATTTACCCAAACGTCACAACAGCGTTACGTATGTATTTGTGCA